CCTACCCAAACCCCAAATTCCTTCCCTACATCCCCCCCACCTATTTCACCGAAGGATTGCCGGTATAAGCAATCCCCCACTTACTAGCCAACGGCTTCGGGCGGATGAGCTGGTAAGTGACAGGGCACTCTTTTGCCCGAGGGTTGGGAAACTGGCCCTAAAGGCGAAGGAACCTCAGTAGAGGTCAACGGCATAAGAATGTAGAAGGCCGAGGACAACCACTACATTAAAGATTCCATTGAATAGTCCTAGTATAAAATCATATATGGTAATGCTCAAAACTAAATACGATTCCGGAGTAAGTTCCCCAATCGGATCTCCGGGGGGGACGTTATGAGTACCTATGAAAAAGAAAAAACAGCAAAACCACAATTTTTAAAAATTTGCACATGGAATGTGAAAACTATGACAAGGAGTGGAAAAATAGACAATGCCAGTCAGGAAATGGAAAGAATGACCATTGACATAATGGGAATAAGTAAGATGAGATGGCCCGGAACAGGAAGCATTGACAAAAAAGATCATAGAATATTCTACTCAGGGTCACTAGATGGAAAACTAGAGCATGGAGTTGGTGTGATAATAACGAGAAAAATTAGTAGATGTATTTTAAATTTTGTCCCAGTGTCCAACAGAGTAATACTACTGCAAATAAGAGCCAATCCAGTGAATGTAAACATAATACAAATATACGTTCCCACTGCAGATAAAGACGACGAGGAAGTAGAGACTCTCTACCAAAGCATAGAGGATATATTAGAACGAATACCTAAACATGAAGTCAGCATCATAATGGGGGATTTCAATGCAAAACTTGGGGCCGAACGGAAAACGTCTCTAATCGGACCTTTTGGGTTAGGACAAAGAAACGAAAGAGGTAGACAGACTAGAAATATTCGCAAAAGATAACAAGCTAGTGGTTCTGAACACATTTTATAAACTACCACCGAGGGGATTGTATACATGGAAGGCACCGGCAGATAAACCCCATAACGTAATTAGAAACCAGATAGATTATATATTGGTAAATAGAAGATTCAGAAACAGTTTTAAATCTGTCAAAACATATCCAGGAGCGGACATTGAATCTGACCACATACCTTTAGTGGGAGTCATGGATGTAAGACTGAAGACAATAAAGAAAAAATCTAGACCTAACTACGACATGACAGCTCTGCAACATCCGGAAGTTAAAAAGCAAGTGGAGGAATATATTAACAACCAAATTAAACAACTAAAAGAAGAAAATAACATCCAATGAGAAATCAATCAATTCGAAGAAATAATTAAGAAAACTAAACAAGATCTGCTAAAACCAAACAAAGAAACAAAGAAGAAATCTTGAAGTTTTCTTTTGTTTTCCATGATCTTTATTTTTCCCCTTTCTTTGGCAATCTGCCTAAACATGATATTACCTAATTTCACTAGTTCTTTTATCTTTATGTTAATTTATATTTCAGTTCACATACAAATTTTATTGTTTCCCTTAGTAATCTCCTATCTCCCTTATCTATTGTCATTCTTCGTACTATCACAACATTTCCTTTTCTTGCTCTATCCAACCTTTCAATGCGTCCTTTTGCATCTCCAAGTTCCTTATATTGTGGAGCACTAATGACAGAACAATTAACAACATTAATTAACAAAATTATAAACACAATAAAATGCCGGAAGAATGGAAACTAATTCTACTATTCAAAAAAGGAGATAAAAAAACAGCCAGAAAACTATATAGGTATAAACTTGTTAAATACTACGCTTAAGCTTTCATTTAAAATTTTACAAGTGCTAATAGTTGAGTTTACCGAAAGTACAAGCCGATTATAGCCGCAAATGTCTAACATGGAACAACAAATTTCGGTATAGCAGTGTTGACATGTTTTTAGAATGTAGGTGTTGTATACGTCAAATGTAAAAAGATAAAGCTTTAGAAAAGTACATTTTGTTTATATTGTGTTACGAATTCTGCAATTTTTGATATATATAAAACAACAATGAGTAAGTGTTTGTTTCTTTGTAAACTAATTGCAGTTAATTATTAGAAATTTTTTTAGCAGTTAACCTTTGATAGATTAGGGGATAGATTTGGCAATAATCAAATCAGCAGTTGCCAGATTACAAAAGATGTTTGCAATTAATCTCGAAAGAGACAAATATCTACTCGTTATTACCTTGTATATAATAAAAATTGCAGAATTTATAAAATAGTATAATCAAAATGTACTTTTTAAAAGCTTTATCTCTTTATATTTGAACCATTCAACATATGCATTATAAAAACATGCCAACACTGCCAAACCGAAATATTTGTGACATTTGCGGCTATATTCAGCTTGTACTTTCGGTAAACTCAACCGTGTTAATAAATCAGAGGATAAGTTTAGCAGATAAAAAACAGGGTTTTCACAGTGGAAGATCGTATACAGATGCAATATTTGTTATAAAGCAAATTACTGAGAAATCACTAGAGTATAATAGACCAGCATTTCTGTGTCTGATTGACCTAAAGAAATCGTTTGACTCAAAGATGATGTAATCCATCTTCTGTATAATAGAGAAACTCCCCTAAATATTATACAAAGTATCGCAAACATCTACCAAAACTACAAAATGGAAGTCAGAATAGATGGACAATTTACAGAACCTATAAAAATAGGCAACGGAATAAGACAAGGGGATTCATTGAGCCCCATGTTCTTCCATTTGGGAAGATTCTGTATCCTTTTCAAAGGAAGAGCATACAGAATGGAAAACAAAGAAATCAAAATTCTCTGTTACGCAGACGACGCAATATTAATAGCGCAAGATGAAGATAGTCTGCACAGGCTGGACAACAGATTTAACATAAGAGTAAAAGAATTTAATACTACAATCCCATCTCAGAAAACTAAAACAATAGTAGTCAGCAAAGAACCAACCAGATGTAAAATAGAAATTGATGGCATCAGTATTGAACAAGTAATGGAAATAAAATACCTGGGAATTACACTGTCTAGCTATGGAGAGCTGGACAAAGAAGTGAGAGATCAAGTACAAAAAGCAAATAGACTAGCAGGATGCCTTAATAACACTATATGGCGAAACAGACACATTACGACTAAGATGAAATCAAGCATTTATAAAGCCAGTGTAAGACCAATAATGACATATGCCTCAGAAACATGACCCGAGATAGCCACAACGTAAAGGCTACTGGAAAACGCAGAGATGAGAGTACTGAGAAGAATTACAGGAAATGCGCTGAGAGATCGAAAGAGAAGTGAAGACATTAGAAGAAAATGTATCGTAAAGTGTATAAATCAATGGACACAAAATACAAAAAAGAATGAAATAACCATATAAGCAGAACGGAGGAGACCCGTGTCGTCAAAATAGCAAGTGATAACTCACCAATCGACAGAAGAAGTATCGGACGACCGCGCAAAAGATGAAGTGACAACCTTCGATAGAGGTATTAATCCGCCAATGAACAAGCAGAATTGCTTATAAAGAGGAATAAGAAGTTCCTTTTTATCCGTTAATTTTTCTTTTGAATTTCCACTATTCTCTTCTCTAAATATTGCCAATTCAATTTCTCAATCCAATATGAGTTCCCTCATTAACAGAGAAATAGGTGTTCTGCTGACTTCTTTAGAGCAGCGGTATCGAAAGTGCGAATTGCCATGATGGTTGCCAACCTTCTTAGAGGATATGGCACATGAAGAAGAAAAAGGTGATCTTCTTTTTCAAGGTCGGATCCCCCCTTTTACCCATTTCATACATTTTTTTTCTATTAGCAGGTGATAGATCAAAGTTACAGGTATAAGTCAGCATTCTTCAGGATGAAAAATTTTTCTTTTTGGTTGCTATTGTGCATACAAGTCGTTAAAATCTTATATTTTTTTAACAGCAAATTTATAAAAAAAAATTAAGATAATTATTGACAAAACGGTAATTTGATTATTCGTAGTTTATTTCAAACTACCTATTTGATCAAAATACTTATTGATAACTTAAAAATTATCATCATTCTCTTTGCTTTTATCCCTATGCGGGTTCGGCTTCCCTATACATTTACATTTCTTCAGAGTTTCTATCGTTGGTCATACCAATAACAATCCCCTTTATCGAGACGTCCTGCCTAAAGGTCTCCACCCAAATGTTCTTTGGTCTGCCCATCCTACTCCTCCCAGGAATTTGAAAATCAGTAATTCTTCGAATTTGGTGATTAACGCCTCAAAGTTGAACACTGCCCAAACCATCTTAACTTATACTCTCTCATTTTGGCATCAATTGGTGCCACCCCTCGACTTTCCTTAGTATACTTATTCTTAATGTTATCCTTTTTTTCAGTACATTCATCCATCTAAGCATTCTCATTTGCGCCACTTGCATTGTTGTTACTTTTTGTTTTTAACTGCCCAACATTCAGTTCCGTTCATACTAGCTGTTTTTATGGCAGTTTTATAAAATTCCGAGAGAAGTCTTCTTATAGATTCCAATACCTTATTTTGATTTTTCTATTCCGTAATGGATGTTCCCCTCGATATAGTAGTTCTCACCTGAAAATCCGAACGAAGGCTGTTTGCTTCCATGGCATTTCAGGAGATGCCATAATTTAAGTATAATTTTTTTGTAGCTATTAGAGAAGGTCTTTTCATTATTATGACCTGAGAAGATTTTTAGACATTTGATGCCTGAATGTCTGTTCTATCAGCATTGGTTCCTGTTTTAGATAACATGTGATTTAGATAACACACCAGATAACACACCACCAATGCAACCTGCAACCACCAAAGTTATTTAGCATTGAACTGTGGTATTACCCCACACCCGCTTACATTTTTCTGTACAGGCCAGGCTCCCTACCGTAAGGACTGCCCTATATGCCAATGTATTATTTCCCGTATCCCGCAACTCGGAGGCACGTACCTTATATTCGATACATATTCGATAACTTACATGTATTTGGATTTAGTATCATTTCCAACGAAAAAATTATTTTATTTAATCTGTTTTAGAAAGATTTCCGAGGAAATTCTTCCTCAAGGCAGCCCTGGCATCTTTCGGCAGAAAGCTACGACGTGCGATCATTTATCTCTCAGTGGGTACGCTAGAGTAGCTAAGCAGTCATTCGGTAACCTCCTGTCAAGAAAAATGGCGTCCAGCTCAGGTCAGACTTCAGTGCCTTGGCCAAATACCAAAGATGATTACGAATTGGGAAAAGTTATCGGTTAGTATTTTATTTTAAAGTGTTCTTTGTGAAAAACTGTGGCTATTAGTATTCACTAGTTTATTAGTCAAAACGTGAAGGAAAAATAAAAATGGAATTGTTAAAAGTTTTAAGGTTATGTACTTTTTTGGTGTTTTTAATCCGGTACCAGTTTTTCTATAGTTAGTTGGAATGTATGCATAATAATCGATCAGAAATAGGTTATTGAAGATGTATACGTCCATTTACACAACAAATAAATATACTTTCAAATGTACTAGATAATAATTTTCATTAAAATCCTATCAGTTATATTTTAGAACTGTATATAGTATATATCATAAAATGTAGGTAACTCACAAACATATTTGAAAAATAGGTTGATAGTCCAAAAGACTTTTATTTTTTTAAAAAGTACTTAAAAGCTGAATATTGTTAATTCCCTGAACAATTTATTATTTACCCAAGAAACTTTATTAGCATTTTAATAAAAGACAAGTATAGCTATTCCATAAAAAAATGTTTAAAATAATATTTCTTTTAGACATTCTACTTACTTCAGTTATAAATATTGAGTACCAGACTAGGTGTTCACTCTCCAATATTTATCTAATTTTTTTTGTTGTAAGTTACATGTTAAAATTTTATTTCAATATTTCATCGAAAATATTCATATTTTGATTCTAAGAATTATTCTAATTCTTTGAATATGTTGACATAATCTATTAGTAAAAGAGGAGTATTATTGAAGAAAAATTTTTTAAGCAGATTACTTTCTCTCTTTTTTTTTTCTATAGGTTCTTTAGCTAATATAAAAAACAAAATTATAGTTTTTACTTATACTTCAGGTTACGTTGCTTGCAAAATAAAAATTTGAGATTATTTGGTTTTTCACAATCAGCTACTAAAAGTAGTTATAGAGTATATCTAAAGGTAATCAGAGACAAAGGTTCACCAATTAAGATAAAAATGATAAAATCCTTAAAAAATCAGTAGATGTAGAACATAATATAAATACACTCTATAATAAGTTTCATGTAAAATTCAAATAAGTTACACCAATAACTCAATTATGACTATATGAGTTGGCTACTTTTATCAAATTAGATTTATTGGGAATTTATTAAACATGTATATAAGGAACATTTTTATTAGAATAAACAGTGAGCAACAGCAAAATAAATATATTGTAAAAGTGTACTGCTAAAAACAGAAATCTATACAACAGTACCTACTAGTTTTTGCTACTTATATTTAAAGTTTATGTATTTCTAACAATTGGTTGTCTTCAGTACTGAGCAGCCAAGTTAGAAAAGGAGCATATTAACTTGGGAAAGGATCACTACAGGATTTTCTCTTAAATTTTAAATCTTTCTTAAATTGTAAATCTAAATTTGTGTCTCTTAAAGCTTTCCCAGATTTGAATTAGTTTTTAATATATCCATATTGGGTTAGATAAACTGTCATAATGATAAGTAAAGTAGCAAGTAGCAACCAATAAAAGAACATGTTTAAAATAAGTTGAGTTCTCAATTATTTAATACTTATTTGATGCTTTAATCTCAAAAAACAAAGGTTGTTTAATATACAGTCTTTGATTTTCTCCATCACTATGAGTAAGAGTAAATGATCAAAAAATTTTTATAACTGTGTTTATTTACAATCTATATCAGTACAGAGTATTAATTAAATGTGTTATTGGTTTTTGGTGTGAAGGAGAGACATCCATTGATGTCTCACGTTATTTTATTATGGTTTAATTGGTTTGAAGTAGGTCTTGGAGCCAGGTTCTATCTAATCTCCTTGTGGCTGGACATTATTGAATAATTCGCTTACTAGCTCATTTTCGTGGGGAATGGTACATTTATTTTATGGCTCCATGGCTTTATGGATTTATTCTCTGAGGAAAGGAATCTTTAAGTCATAGTGAAGTATTTATTAAAAATCCTTTGTAAAAGGTATATATTTAAGCACCCAAACGGGCTAAGTTAAACAGACAAAACATTTTCGGAATCCATATTCCATCATCAGTGTCTATGAGTACATGAATGTAGCCACTAAATATATGGGTAAAAACCCGTTAACAAATAATTAATTACATTTAGTTTACAAAATTTATTATAATGATTTAAGATGTTAAAGTTACTGTTGGATTAGGTAACATGTCAACATATGACTCCAAGTTGAAGTTGCTAGTCCTGAGACAGTGTGTCTACGAGGACTGTATAGGAGCAACTGAGCTGCTCCCATAGTTGAAATTTTGTAAACTAAATGTAATTAATTATTCGTTAATAAGTTTTTACCCACATATTTAGTGGCTACATTCATGTACTCCTAGACACTGATGATGGAATATGGATTCCGAAAATGTTTTGTTTGTTTAACTTAGCCCGTTTGGGTTCTTAAATATAGACCTTTTACAAAGAATTTTTAATAAATTTTTTAATATATGATATACAGCCAACTACAGGAACGTAGATTCCTTGTGGATTCATAGTGAAGTTTTTGATTGTTTACATACCATGGTAAATGACGATCTAACGATCTTAGCACTTCAGGCAGAAATATTTGAAGGATATTCAGCAATGTTGGCTTTGCACAGTCCCATAGGTGTAGTCAGTAGTACCAGATAGGTTTGAGTATGACTTTGTGTAGAAGAATTTTGTTTTGGATGTTGAGTTTTGATTTACGTCCAAGGAACCAACACATTTGTGAGAATTTTAAGTTGAGAGCTGTCTTCTTTTGGTCTGGATATGTTTCTTTCAAGTGATACGTAGTTCAAGATGAAAGCCAAAGTATTATCTAGTGTCTGTTACTGTTGGTATTCTTACATTGTTGATTCTCACAGGAGAGCATGTGTTGTGGAGGTTGTTAAATGTTATTTGAGTTGATTTTGTTTTGTTTTCTTTTGTTTCGCCATTTTGTGTACCAATCACTGTGTATAACCAGATGATGTAGCAGGTTTTGCGAGGTTTGTATGGGATCTTCATTTACAGTTAGTATCGCTACGTCGTCAGCAAAGGAAGCGATTGTAGTATTATTAGAGTCTATTATATCAGCTGTATAGAAGCTGTAACAGCAGTGGTTCGAGAACAGTACCCTGCAGAACTTTGGAGTTGAATTTTACAGAGAAGTATCTATTTGATATGTAGGATTTGAGTAGGAGGAAACAGTTACTGGATAGTGCTATTTTTACTTTGTAAAGCATACCTCCATGCCAGACTTTGTCAAAGGTATTTCTTCAAAACATTTTGATATTTCATTTATCATTTGATGGACTTATAAACTGATGACCTGCATATATCCTTTGTAGCAGCAATCTTTCAAAAACTTTGCTTAAGGTTGGGAGTAGGCTGATGGGTCAATAAGATGTTACTTCATTGGGCTCTTTTGCTAGCTTAAAAATCATAATGATTTTGTGCTGAGATTAAATCATAACTTGGAGCCTTTTGTGAGTTGAGTTTGTTTATTTCTTTCTTCACTTCTATAGGAGTAAAACTTTTGATCAGAACTGACATTTGACAATGTATGCTAATTATTTATTCCACTTCTTCTGTTTGAAATATGTTTGTAAGATGTTCAGCAAAGGTGTCTGCTTTTTCTTTTAGTCGCCTTCAATAATTTCTGGTCATTTTCTGTAGGGTTTATAATGTCGTTTTTGAAGGTTTTGCTGTCTGGCTTTGATGTCCACTCCAAGTTACTTACATAGTCTATTGAATATATGATGATCTACTTCGCTGCTAGATCTTTGCCAGGTTCTCCTCGCACGATATTTGTTAGCAATGAGTTGTCAAATGTGCAGAGGAACATTTGTGGTATGTGTTGGTTTGCGTTCAATTCGTGGTGTAGATTGCTGTGCGGCTTTTGCACAAGCATAGTGAAGTATTGAGCTACTGTATCTATGTCATGCGTAGATTTGATCCACAGATTAAGATTTGTGTTTTCTTCTAGATAGGATTGAAAATCTATTCAGTTGGTGTTTTTTGATGTGAGTTGAGGAATGATTGGGTACATTATAACTGTGGTAATCTTGTTTATAATAATCAGTGTATCATAGATCAGTAGTAAATATCAGAGATCATAGCTTAATTATATTAGACAGCTGTTTCTGGACACTCCGTTGCTTATGTAGTAGTCCAGTAGATCTGAAAGTTTGTTGGGGTCACTTAGCCAGTATGTAGGGATTCTGTGTGTGGCAATCATAGTTGTGTCAGTCATTGCTTTTAAAAGATTACGACCTTTTGTTGTTGTGAGGATCAAGAAATATATGTCCTAAATAAGAGAACTATTCATATTTAATTCTTTAAAGCAGCTACATTTAAATTATGATTGTATTCATTTTATTTCCCCAAGTTTTATGAACCTTTAACATCTTCATATTTATCAGATATTATGACCAGCTTTCTTTTCTGTATGTTGCAAAAACCATTGCTGTGTTACAAAATGGTCTCATCTTGGAAAAGTAAGATGACAAAGGTAATTTGTTACTATTGAACAAACACTGGTGTTGGTATCTTTAGGAAAACCTAAGAAATTAGTTATTTCACAAATTGACCCTTAAAAATTTTATAATCTTGAGATTAGATTACTGAATTATGTGTATGTTCACACATTTAACAAGAGTATTCCAAATGAATAGGAATTATCCAGAATCTCACACTGATTTATCAGTCTCTCTCTAGGATTCTGAGTATGAGAAGTGAAACTGAATTCATTTGGGCTGTTGTGTGCACAAAACATTTATCCAATATAATATGCATCAAAGGGATTTCGACCAGGGATATGTACCTTATTATGAAGCTTATTATTAAGTATATTCTAATTATGAATGTGTTGCTTGTGTGAGTCCATATCAAATAGGTAAAGAAATAATAATAAGACTTACTCACAATCAATTTAATTTAACAATCAGACGACCGGTTTCGCTTTCTACAATTTGCAAAGCATCTTCAGGTCTAGATACAAAGTTAAACTAATGCTGCAATAAAATAAACCCAATTAGGGTGGTGTCTAATAAAGAT